CCCTAAACTGGGTGTATTGATTCATTCATTCATTTTGTCAGCATCTGTTTGTGCTTGCAGATTTTGTTGATACCGAAAGTATTTAAAACTTGTTACAACTCGATCAAGGTAGTTATTAGATTGTGTACAGACTAGAGGACATTATTTTCCTGTAGAATTAAGAATACTCTTCTCTATTGCCACTCAGCTTGTCAACAATGTAAACCTCCGAAACCTAACCAAGATGTCCTGCGTAGAAACCTCACGGTGTAGGCGATTAAAAAAAATTTATCTAAACCCCTTTTTTGCGCTTCTAACATGACAATCATTGCAGTTCGTTGTTATTATTATTACTCATGATAACTTTGAGGAAGTTTACCAATCTCAACGTAAACCTTTTTAAGTGTCAGGAAAATTTTAGTTTATGGACTTTATGTAAAATCGTCTCTGAATTTTTTTGTAGTCACGTAAGCCGCTATGAAATGTATTTTCAAAATAAGACATTTACCGAAGTTTATCTAAGCGGTTATCAACTCCGAGCCCAATTTACTTTTGAGCACTGATTGTTCATAATTTACTGAAGTGATAAATAACTTAAGCTTACATAAAAGAATTTAAACGTGATGGTCAGCATAATAAATAAATGAGGTTGTAAGCTTACTACCTACTTCAACATATCCTGCTTTGGTGACACGAAACTTGAATTCGTTCTTCCACGGATACAAATGATGAAGTTCCACTGAGCCAGGTTGTAAGTCATCTTTACCTGTCCACGATACGTTTCCTGACATTTCACAAATCGTAGTTTGTAAAAAACCCATTTTATTACCGTGAAGATTGAGCGTCCTAAAACCAGTCATTGAGAACCGGAAGAGGAAGCGAAACAGGAACAGAAAACGAAAGATTGGAAAGGGGATTTTCCTCAGATGGACGAAATATATCAGGTTGCAAGAACTAGACGATAGTCCACCCTCTCTTTCCATAAAGCAAAGTAGTGAGCATATCATATCATATCCTAACATTTATCATATCATATCTCATATATCATATCAGGGCAACCTTTGATATTTCTTCTTTTTCAATTCTTATTCCATGAGACCAGGGAACGTCACAATTTATGCTAACATAATTTGTAATGTCTGTAATTAGGTGCTAATTGCAAAGAGAAACAAAAAGCAAGCAATTCGCGTCGAAAAATGTATTAGCTGCTTAAAAGGTATACTGCAATTTTTAAAATCAAGTGCAGAAGGAGAAATAAATAAAAACCTCACTTGTTAATTTGGCTTCCCCTGAATGCGAAACGCAATAAATTTAAAGACTGCTTTATTTGCCGTAGGGTATATGACGATAAAAGAAAACTCACTTAAAAACTTTCCCCATTTTTAAACTGAGGGAAAAATTCTGGTAAGAACATTACTGAACTATATAAGTAGGACGCTAAGTCTTAGGTGATTGGACAAACAGTGCTTTCCGTGTGTTTTCAGAGTTTCCAGAAAATCAGGTATTTTCCACACCACATGAATGGCTTATGATCAATGATAGGGGTGTCCAAGTTGAAAACAAATAGAAATGTAACTGCTGAACGGACCGTCACTGGCCCAAATCCCGGTCTTTTAAATGGACGATATCATACGGCCGCTTAGCGATACGTAATCTCGTATCTGTGAGTCTAAGCGGCCAGGTGATGTTCTATTTAATATCATCTCCTGATATAAACACCAATAAAATACCAAGCCTTTTCAATTTAAGAATTCCGGTATAAAAGGCGCGATTTATTATGTAGCCATAGCAACGGTGATCTTTCAAATGTGGAGATAACTTGTCATTTTCATATGTGAGGGTTTCTTGTTTTCGCGTGAAAGCTCACCTGGTATTTCTTTGTTGTTTACATAATATATTTATCATAACCAAAGTTTAATAACCAAAGGGAATTTGTTACACTGCGCATACGCATGTTGTATCCATTCTCGATCCCGGAGTCCCCTGCGTGCCTACGCTCGTCTCCCTGGGTGTGCTCTTGAAAGGCCGATTAGTGCTAATCCAGGATTAAAATTTTCAGTGGCACGTTTTTGTATTTTACCTTTCTAAGTATTGTTGTATCTCGGAGTAAAGACTCATCAGTATGTTGTAAGCTCCAGTTACATGCTCGTACACAAGAAAACCTTGTGCCAATTTTAGTCTAATCCTAGGTTAAACTTAACCGTCCTTCGAGGAATCGGGACCTGGTAGTTATGTGCAGCAGAGCGCCTGGGTCGAGAATTTGTTTTGTCGAGCAGCCTCAACTTCATTTTCACCACTAAAAGCAAAAAATGGTGAACATGAAAATGCTGTGAAGCAGCTTAAACAAGTTCAAACTCTTCACCACATATCACAATCATGTTGTGGGAGGGGGACAGTTAAAAAACCGAATCACATCAGGCCGGCTCTCACATGTTCAACACTAGGAGTCTGTTTCTTAAAACTACCGAAAACATTTTGAAGTACACAAACTTCACTAGCAGAAATGTGATTTTAAATTTTTTCAAGATCGATATTTATTTACTTTTCACAAAAACTCTCAACGATCGGCCATTCGTCCCAGCTGCGCCAGTCAAATCTCACACGATTTGAAAAAGATATATATGAAATCTTCAAACTAGAGTTATTAAGCGGCCTATTTAATGCCATAAAAAACAATTCCTTCACAAAGACGACAAATAGGTAACTTTTTTTACGATAAAAATCCTACACTTTTTACATTTAAGTTGTATTCCCCACAACCGACAACTACTTGATTACTCCCTTAACAACAAATACCTAACTACTTATGAAAATTTTACTCTTCACTACATCTACCTAGCTATCAAAAATGTTCAACGTATCCTCACCAATTCCTCGCTACTGGTCACTCTGTGTAATTTATTCTTTTGTTACAAAAAGTCGACTTCTATGCATAAAAACTGCATTATAGAAAATACACGTGCAACTAACAAGAAAATGTCTTACTTTAACGTTATTTGTCTCTGAAGTGCAAATACACAAAATTGATAACAATAAAAATTCTCCACTAAAAATACCTAATTATCATAAAAATTGATTGGTGATTGATGTCATCTCATAAGTAGATGGAGAATGATCATCCGGGTGAACGTAGTCCTCTCATTGACCCTGAAGATGACTGAAGCACCGGCTGTCGAAACGTCAGTCACTATAAACAACAACGAGTCCAATTTATGGACTACGCTCACCCAGACGATCTTGCTTCACCTACTTACAAATTAATTTTTTACTGAATGAGCTTACTATATGTTTATTGTACATGTATACTTTAAAACTAATACCTAATTACTTCGTAATACTATGTAAATTGGAAATTTAACTGCTAACATTTGTCTGCTACAAATATCTAATATAAATTGTATTCTCCACTATATATAATTACCTCACCGTAATACTGTGTTTTTAAGCACTAGTACTACCAATACCTGGCTTCTATAAAAATTGCATAATTTCTCAATACAAATCGTCAAGTTCCTAATTGCATTCTTCACTGCAACAAACTAAGAGCTATGTAAGAGCTCGCGAATATAGTCGCCGTTATCAGGCTATTACAACCGGAATTACTTAAACCGAATTCATGTCCAAACATTCAGCAAAAAAAATTCAGGGATAACTGTTGCTATTTTTCCCATTATTTTTTTTTAGCAGAGAGTTCTTACAAATTGCGAATAATCAATCCCATTGCATACCGTTGATTTTACAGTTAAGAAGTTGCATTTATTCCTTCAGTTCATCGATTATTTCCTGCATGGTTGGTCTCGCCCTAGGCTCTCTCTGCAGGCATCGCCGTACCAGGCCACGAAACGCGCCATTTGTTACAAGCACCAATTGTTCTCCACGCCTTTGAGGATCTGGAAGTTGCCGGATGCACATTTCACAGAGAAGAACACCAAAGCTGTAAACATCAACCTAACAACAATACATCATTGAATAAGTCAATATTCTTTCCCTGGGATGTCTGTGGTTTACTACGGTTAAAGTCCAGAGAGGCTGGATTTTCATTGCACTGACAATATCCGGGACAGTTGTGCACCGTAGCCGAGCTGAGTCAGCTGAGACAAGCCAGAAAATTTACGTTAGGGATAAACAGTGAGTTCCATTTGGAGATATGATAGAATTTCGAACAGAATAAGCGTTCTTAAGCAGTAATTTGTCCCAACTTGATGACAGAACACATATTCGCCATTGTCACTTTACCCATACTAAAAACTTAGTGACCAGTTCCGAGGGAGGCAGGTAAGTTTGTTTTCCGAGGCTGGAAATTTTGAAGCTAGAAATTCATTAATCCTCGCTGTAACGGTGGTCGTCGGTCAACATTCGCGGGTAACACTGCACTGTTACCCTCTGACGTCCTAGATTTTGCAATGTTGCCCGCTCAGATATTCAGTTTGGCGGGAAACAGTTTCCTTGTTCGATGTCATGTGACCTCAAAGTAGTCAATGATAACGCGCGCTGTTGGGAAAAACATTTCCAGCTATATTACAATGCACCTTGTTTACCCCAAAAGATTTTGGATAAGCATTGTGTTCGCCTTCTACCCGAAGACAGTAAGACAAACTGTAAACAATTCTTATGTAAAATTTAATTTGTGTGTGAGTTTGAGGGAAAGGTTGAACGAGGTACATTACCGGCAATTTAAAAGTGGTGAACTGGTAATTTTCATAATTGTTTTATATTCTGGTTAGTACTCTATGTTTGTATACAGCTAGCCTTGGACCAGGCTCTATAGTGGGGGAAAAAGGAAAAAAAAACACCTTTACGCGTCTTGTTGTTTCTATTAATACCTACATGTCATAATGACTAAACGCCATAAAGGTTCACCAGAACCGATGATGCGATGGTTTAAGAGGCTGACTAAAAACTAAGAAGCGTGGAAGAGGAAAGTATTTGAGTGCCCGAAAATGCGGTGGGAGCTCGCGAGAGCTGGTAGAGGAACAGGACCGGACGGGACAAGACGGGACGGGGCGGGGCGGGGCTATAGGTTTTTTAAACCTTAGCAGGATTGACAAATTCAAAAAAAGAAGTTGGTCGTTGGTAGTCAAATGACCTCATCGTGAAAATAGCCCAACACTGTTTAACCCTGTAACCACTTCTTTCCCTTTTACTAATGACAGCCGACGAAATTCAAAGCACAGGAACATTATAAGTGCTAAAACTAGCCAGGCATACACGCCGCCGTTTCTTCCGTAGGCCCCAACGTGGATTTGGGAATGGCAAGGGTCACAAGACTCGCGTTTACTCTACAGAAACACTGGGTCGGGACCAGTCCTGAAAAAAGTTGTGCGGTACCGATAACTGTGGCAAAGAAAACTAGAGTTTTTGCAAGGCCAAACCTGCGGACCTGTGAAAACTCGAGTATTTCTTTACAAATGTTGTCGGAGCCGTAACACTTTTATGACTGGTTCAAACCAAACACTTGTGACAATATTAGCAATGCTGTACATTTGTAAATTCAGCAGTTTTTGAAATTCTCGATCACCAACCTTTGCATGATTACTACTCCACTTGGTGTTTACAAGGTGTTACTTAGACAGCCTTAAATCCTGTATTTTTTCAATGAAAACTAACCTTTACTGTTTGCTTTGATGTAAGTGCTTCAGGCGCGCTGTAAATCATAGCTCCAGGAGCCACTGTCATGGTCTGCTGAATGAAATTAGCGGTGCCATAATCTGACACTTTGCCTCTCCATTGCTCACCTTGTCGCCATAGCAACTGAAATTTTGTATCTCCAAGCGGCCATGTAATATTCTATTTATTATATAAACACCAATGAAATACCAAACCGTTTCACTTTAATAGTTCTTTGGTGTGAAAGGCGCGATTTGTTATGTAGCCATGGCAACGGTAATATTTTCACATGTGAAGATAACATGTTATTTTCACATGTGAAGATACCAAGTTTTCGCGCGAAAGCTTACCTGGTATTTCATTGGTGTTTATATAATAAATTGTATTCTCCACTATATACAATTACCTCAACGTAATACCGTGTTTTTTAGCACTAGCTCTTTATTAGCAATACCTGACGCCTATAAAAATTGCATTTCTCAATACAAATCATAAAATTCCTAATTGCATCCTTCACTACAACAAACTAAGAGCTATGTAAGCGCTCGCGAATATAGTCGCCGTTATCAGGCTATTACAACCGGAATTACTTAAACCTAATTTATGTCCAAACATTCAGCAAAAAAAGTTCAGGGAAAACTGTTGCTATTTTTCCTATTATTTTTTTTAGCGGAAAGTTCTTACAAATTGCGAATAATCAATCACATTGCATACCGTTGATTTTACAGTTAAGAAGTTGCATTTATTCCTTCAGTTCATCGATTATTTCCTGCATGGTTGGTCTCGCCCTTGGCTCTCTCTGCAGGCATCGCCGTACCAGGCCACGAAACGCGCCATTTGTTACAAGCACCACTTGTTCTTCACGCCTTCGAGGATCTGGAAGTTGCCGGATACACATTTCACAAAGAAGAGCACCAAAGCTGTAAACATCAACCTAACAATACATCATTTGCATTAGTCTATATTTTTCCCTGGGATATCTGTGACATACTACGGTTAAAGCTCAGCGACGTTTGATTTTTATTGCACCGACAATATCCGGGACAGTCAGTGTGCACCGCAGCCGAGCTGAGTCAGCTGAGACAAGCCAGAAAATTTACGTTACGGATAAACATTGAGTTCCATTTGGAGATAGGATAGAATTTCTAACAGAATAAGCGTTCTTACGCAGTAATTTGTCCAAGCTTGATCACAGAACACATATTCGCCATTGTCACATTGCCCATAATAAACACTTAATGACGGGTCCCGAGGGAAGCAGTTAATTTTGTTTCCCGAGGCTGGAGATTTTGAAGCTGGAATTTCACTGATCCTTGCTGTAACGGCGGTCATCGGTCAACATTCGCGGGTAACAGTGCACTGTTACCCTCTGACGTCATAGATTTTGTAATGTTGCCCGGTCAGATATTTTGGCAGGAAACAGTTTCTTTGTTGGATGTCATGTGACCTGGAAGTAATCAATGAGAACGCGCTGTTGGGAAAAACATTTCCAGCTATATTACAATACACCTTGTTTACCCCCAAAAATTTTGGATAAGCATTGTTTTCGCATTCTACACGAAGACAGTAATATCCCCTCCAAGACAAACTGTAAACAGTTCTCGTGCAAAATTTAATTTGTGTGTGTGTGTTTGAGAGGAAAGATTGAACGAGGTACATTACGGGCAATATCAAAGTGGTGAACTGGTAATTTCCATAATTCTTTTATACTCTGGTTAGTACTCTATGTTTGCATACAGCTAGCCTGGGACCAGGCTCTGTAGTGGGGGAAAAAGGAAAAAACACCTTTACGCGTCTTGTTGTTTCTATTAATACCTACATGTTATAATGACTAAACGCCATAAAGGTTCACCAGAACCGATTATGCGATGGTCTAAGAGGTTGACTAAAAACTAAGAAGCGTGAAAGAGGGAAGAATTTGAGTACGCGAAAATGCGGTACGCGCTCGCGAGAGCTGTTAGAGGAACAGGACAGGACAGGACGGGGCGGGGCGAGCAAGTAAGGGCTACAGTTTTTTTACACCTTAGCAGGATTGACAAATTCAAGTAAAATAGCAGTTGGTCGTTGGTAGTTAAATGACCTCATCGTGAAAATGGCCCAACACTGTGTAGCTCTGTAACCCCTTCTTTCCCTTTTACTAATGACAGCCGACGAAATTCAAAGCACAGGAACATTATAAGCGCTAAAACTAGCCAAGCATACACGCCGCCGTTTCTTCCGTAGGCCCCAACGTGGATTTGGGAATGGCAATGGTCACAAGACGCGCGTTTACTCTACAGAAACACTGGACCAGTCCTGAAAAAAGTAGTGCGGTACCGATAACTGTAGCAAAGAAAAGTAGAGTTTTTGCAAGTCCAAAGGCACTTGCGGACCTGTGAAAACTCGAGTATTTCTTTAGAAATGTTGTCGGAACCGTAACACTTTTATGACTGGTTCGAACCAAACACTTGTGACAATATTAGCATTGCTGTACATTTGTAAATTCAGCAGTCTTTGAAATTCCCGATCACCAACCTTTGGATGATTGCTACCGCACTTGGTGTTTACAGGTGTTACTTAGACAGCCTTGAATCCTGCATTTTTTCAATGAAAACTAACCTTAATTGTTTGCCTTGATGTAAGTGCTTCAGGCGCGCTGTAAATCATAGCTCCAGGAGCCACTGTCATGGTCTGCTGAATGAAATTAGCGGTGCCATAATCTGACACTTTGCCTCTCCATTGCTCACCTTGTCGCCATAGCAACACATTTGCACTGCTGACGTCACGATGAATGATAGGCTCTGGTTTCTTCTGATGAAGGTAGTTCAGGGCACGTGCTACATCCAGAGAAATGGTGCGTATTTCTGTCTCGGAGAGTTGCCGCTGATCCAACAAAGTGCGCAGACTTTTCTTCATCAGCTCGGTTACAAACAGAGGAGTTCCCTCGTCTTTCGTGGCGCCGATAAACTGTAGCAAGTGAGGATGGCGGCATTTTGCTGCGATATTCATTTCTCTTTCAAACAGATTAATGTTATGCGGAGAAAGAATCAACTCATGGATTTGTTTCACTGCTACAGTACAGCCACAATACGTTCCCTCATTGACACTTCCCCATCCTCCCCTCCCAAGGCATTTATCTGTGATTTGAATTTCGTCGCGGGTAATAACCCAGTCACGTGTTTCCTGGCTGCGAAATTCATTTATTGTTAGCTGAGCTGTTGAAAGACTTAACTGTAGTTCAGAGACTTGTTCTTGGCAATTTCTCAACTGTCTCTGAGAAATTTCTTCACGTTGCTGAGACTCCGTCAGCTGCCTTTGAGAATTTTGTTCCTGTTCTCGAACCCCTCTAAGTTGCCGCTGAAAATTTTGTTCACGTTGCCGCGACTCCCTAAGCTGCCTTTGAGAGCTTTGTTCCCGTTCCTGAAGCTCTCTGAGTTGCCGCTGCAAATTTTGTTCACGCTGCCACGACTCCGTAAGCTGCCTTTGAGAGTTTTGTTCCCGTTCCTGAAGCTCTCTGAACTGTCTTTGTAAATTCTCTTCGCGTCGCTGTGTATCTCTTAACTGCCTCTGGAAATTTTCTTCACGTTGCTGAAAATCCCTCAACTGTTTTTCTACTGATTTTGAGCTTCGGCTTGTCGAGTTTGCTTCGCGTAGATCTTGCATTTTTTCTGAAAGGATAATTTAAAAACGATACAAAGCAATCAAAATCACTAGAGTAACATGGGCAAACAGACTACGTTTTACCAGGAGCATATGGTTTTACCTAAAAAAAAACTTTGACTTAACAGAAAATGCACTGCATTTCTTCACTTGAAACTGAGTGACAACTGTGCATAAACGAAATATTGATGAATAAAATGAAATTTATGATGGTTTCTTTCGCCCAATTGTCACTTAACATTGCTTGTTTGTAAAACGCCCTCAGCTTGCGAAGTTGAGTGACAGCCCTATAGCAGCTGATTTTTGCATAATATTTTCCAGTGTTAAACAATTTGTTACTCGAGAAGGTGCAGAGAGACGAATATTATGGCGCCAATTAACGCGAAATTTGTAAACATCTGGCCTTGGTTGTTCAATATTGGATAGCGCTATCCACGGGGTAAATCACTATCCAATGGATAAGTATTGGGGAAACTAATTACACTATCCACTGGATAGAGATTTATCCGGTGGATAGCGCTATCCACCGGGTAAATCACTATCAAATGGGTAAGTATTGGGGGAACTAATTACACTATCCACTTGGATAGAGATTTATCCGCTGGATAGCGCTATCCACTGGATAAATCTCTATCCAATGGATAAGTATTGGGGAAACTAATTACACTATCCACTGGATAGAGATTTATCCGCTGGATAGCGCTATCCACTGGATAAATCTCTATCCAATGGATAAGTATTGGGGAAACTAATTACACTATCCACTGGATAGAGATTTATCCGCTGGATAGCGCTATCCACCGGGTAAATCACTATCCAATGGATAAGTATTGGGGAAACTGTAATTACACTATCCTTTGGATAGAGATTTATCCGGTGGATAGCGCTATCCAGCCTTTGAACAACCGAGGCCTGAAGAAAAATGTAACATAATTACATGAACTCGTAATGTAAGAACCTTTAATGCAAAATGCAAAAACGTTTTAACGCAAAATGTAACACGGTTTTGAACGCAAATTGTAACAACGTTTTATTAAACTGGAGATGTGGCAATGTAAAATATAAAAACTAAATTCTTCAGCTACACGTATAAAAAAAAGTCAAAGTAAAAACTTAGTCACTTCTATACCGATAAAAGTTACATGCAGTGAAAAGTGGCTAAGAGGAACTTTTTATGTTGCATTCCTTATTGCAAGGCACATAAGAGGTGTCTAAAAACAGACATTTATATCCTTTTACACGGACTGAAAAAAAAACGAATCATGAATATATATCCTATCCTGCGGTGAAGGAGGACATTTCACTTTGGAGGAGGGGTAGGTGGGCAGTTTCCCAGAGACGTATAATGATCCGATAAATCTTAGCAAAAACTTAGTAATCCGGGACTATATACCGGCTGTGTTTTGACCAAAATCTAAAGCCATGAAATGTCACGTTAACTATAAGCACAAGCATGTAGGAACCAGCGTGATATACCGTATAAAAAAATTAAAGCCGCAGTGTTTCTTAATTTTTAAGATAGAATTGTAATAGTCTGGATGGTGTAGACTAGCCCTAGCCACAAGTTGCCCAGGCAACTTTTTGGCACCTTTTGGAGCAACTTTCAGTTTTGGGGGCAACTTGATTAAATTCTAAGTGCTCAACATTAGGCAATTAAACAGTCCTTTGATACTGTTTAAGCCTTATTATATATCCTTATAAGAACATTTCAGTTCTTTAATGTTATAATTATAGATATCATTTAACAACGTGAAAATCGAAATTTGTGCCCCATGCCCCACCCCTCAGCCACCTAACACCCACCCCTGCTTCTCAGTTAAACTGCCCGCGGTCTGGGGTCAGCCTTTCGTGCCTTTTTCATAATGATGGCAAACATTGAATCTTCAGTTAGTTTAGAGCAAGAAAATTCTAACTCTCTAACTTTGACTACTATCAGCGAAGCCAAAAAGCTTGATGCAAATCTAAGTAAGCCTGAAAACGCTGCAATAGCTAGAAAACCAAAGAGAACAAAGATATTGATCTCATGAAGGAATTTCGACTTACAGCGTTCTTTTTCACACGATACTGACTGATCTATGCGACCAATGCGAATTTTTTTCCTTTATTGTTACTATTTGGTGATATATAATTGTCATGAACTATTTCTCGGCAATCACGTGTAAAGTAAAAATCACTTAATTAAGTACTCTTATTGCGCAGGCAAACAAAAGACATTCCACAGTTGTACGTTTGAATGTCACCTGTAGCAGTTGTGTTTACAAACAGGGCAAAGAAGGAAGTAGTTTTGAATTGCATTATTGTAATTAACTAGCGGCGTTTGTCTTAAAAACGCGAAAATGGCTGTCACTCATGTCATTTTGATTCTACTTAATAAGGAGCAACTTTTTGTAAAATTCAAGCAACTTCAAGCAACTTTTTCGACATTTTGGAGTAACTTGTGGTTAGGGCCAGTGTTGACTACCAATTGTACCGAGTTCTTTTGTAATCCTCGAATAAACGCCGCATTCCTCTGGTTGTGTGCGGCGATTATTCGAGAACAGCGTTAAATGAACGTTTATTCCAGGAGGGCAGCGTTTACATGTAATCGACTAAACACGGTAAGCCAATTGAAAGAACAGGTATAGAAGGGGTAAAAAAAATAGTTTTTCTTAGACTCATCTCGTTTGTTAAGTTTAATTGCTCGATTATTTACCCTTCCGAAAGTGTGCAAAGAAATATTCAAAGATTCTTCAATTTCAATAAAGCGCAATAATTTTTGTACCCTGGTCCCAGAGGCTTTTCTTGATTTTTCTTCGCGAAAGAGATCAAGAGCAAGCCGCGAAGCGGCGACAACGAGTCGCGAAAGCGACGAGGAGAGAGAGAAAAACCTCTGGTTACCTTGGCCTCGAATCTCACTTTCATGCAGACGACAGGATCAGGATCTGACCCTCGGGCGTTGGTTGGTTGATATTTTTTCAAACACGCAAACCAATTTGATTGGCTCGTTTAATTGTAACTACCGAGGGGACGCTGAGGATTTTCACACCTCATTTTGCCTCTCTCTACCAGGGAAGAAAATTGTTTGTATGCTGCACTTGCAATAACATTTGCACGGGACCAAGGCACGTAAAGGCACGCCATATTTCGAGATTTTGACACGGATGTTGCTCCTGAAAGAATATTCGAAGAAATTTTGACCTCGATACTTGATGAGCGCTTTCCTGAGTCTCACTGAGCAACAAAAGAAAGCTTTGTTCGCCGCGTTGAGTCGAAAGGATGTGTCCACTATTTTATCAACCGGACATGGAAAGTATATAATATTTCAGTCGTTACCTGATGTTTTCAAGTACCTTTCCTTAAGAGGCTACTCATACCCTCGCCATGCAATAATTTTGGTTGTCTGTCCTCTCGAGTCTCTTGTGGACTCGCATATCCGCGAACTACGAAACCGTGGCGTCTCAGCAACCAGTTTGAGCAGTCCAGACGTTGGCGACCAGAATCTTGTGTCTCGATGTATTTACCATTTTCTGTTACAATACTGTCATTCCATTAAATAAACTAACTTGTTTAGGACAGCAAAATATAAATCTCCGAATACGGAATGAAAGTTTCCTTGTAGGAAAAAAAACATACAACCTTTTACAAGTACGTAATCATTTTCGCTGCAGCTTGCATTTTCCTGCGACGCCCAATATTTATCTTTAAAGATCTAACCAACGTTATTTTTGGCATTGGGTCAACAAAAACCTCTGAAAGTACATTCCGAACCTTAAGGGTTTGTTGTGCTGCATGACTCTTCCTACCGCCGTTGTTTCACAAAAAAGGGAAATGGAGCTGCCAAACCAAAATGCGAGCCAGATTGTCAGAACACATTATTAATATTACTATTTTGGGGGGAATGCCCGCGAATCGACGCGAACGGCGCGCCCCGCAGAAGTAAACAATATAATAAGCGCGATTGATAGTCTCTTGCAAACTTTACAACTTCCCACTGGCACTTCTGGGCTGAGTTGCTCAAAGCATGGTTAGCTTTAACCGTTGGTTAAGCAGTATCAAAACCAATACGTTGTCAAGGTATTTAACGCTGGTTAACGCTAACCATGCTTCGAGCAACTGGGCCCTGACAGATAATCCCGTTGAGTCGTGTACACAGCCGACAGGACAGATGACAATGTTTGTGAAAAATCATTATTATTATACCCAAAAACGTTGATTTAGATCGGCGACTTATTTTAAAATAAATTCTGCAAATCCTGCAGCAGTCGTTTGGAATGATTTTGGTTTCTTTATAAAGTGGTGTTCTTATTCCTGGACTCTTGTCGCCCATCGTTAACTGATGCTTTAGCTTGACCCCGATTAACAAATCACTCTTTACCACCCAAGTGGAGATGGTTTGTTCATAACATAATTTCCCCAGGTCTACCCCCACTAAAAAAAATAGCGGCTGATAAGCACGTGTTTGCTAAATTGCCATTGGTCACTCTTTTTATTAGCAATTTCACGCGTTTGACAGCTGTCGTCTGCATGAAAGTGAGATTCGAGGCCAAGGTAACCAGAGGTTTTTCTCTCTCTCCTCGTCGCTTTCGCGACTCGTTGTCGCCGCTTCGCGGCTTGCTCTTGATCTCTTTCGCGAAGAAAAATCAAGAAAAACTTCTGGGACCAGGGTATAATTTTTACATCGAACACCTTGATATGGCGGGTCTCGTAACAATCCTTAAAAAGGAGGCTTACACGCTCACGCTTGACAGGTTTTCTTTTTCTTAACAGCTTTATTTGTTACATTTTGCTTTGTAACATTTCGCACAAACGTTACGTTTTGCGCTAAAAATTTGTTACACTTTGCGTTATGTAATTCCTACGTTTTGTTCAGAAAGCTGTTTTAAAATGCTTAATGTCATTACATTTTGCGTTAATGCTATCAATTATAATATTTTGCGGCGTAACAGACACGGAAAGGCCAAACGTAGACCAAATTTAAAAGCGTTCAGAACGCGATTTTGTTTAACACCGTTTAAATGAAACTC